CCCCCACCCCCATCCACAGTCCCCCCCTCCCAAATGATGTACTCACTTTCCGCCGAAGAGCTGCATGCCCAGTAGAGCAAAGATGAGGATGAAGAGGAAGAGAAGAAACAGCAGACTGAGGATGGACCTCATACTGGACAGTAACGAGATGACCAGGTTCCTCATCGACGCCCAATATCTGCACATAGACAGCACAGTCAGTGTTTGAATAACTTATACACACATACAAACTACACACAGACAGACAGACGGTAACGAGATAACCAGGTTCCTCATAGACGCCCAGTATCTGATGGTAAACAACAGTCAGTTATATACAATAGAAACAATGACAACAACAACAATAATAACAATAATAATGACAATAATAATAATAATAATAATAATAATAATAATAATAATAATAATGTAACGTGATTATTCTGTTGAATATACAGGATACAACAGACGTGTCGCGACATAAGATACATCAGGGAGCAAAAGCACAAAAAAAGTAGAGATTATACGAAATACAAGGGACATAACTCAGTATTACAAAAGAATAGAACAGTGCTCTTTCTTTCATTGAATTGCTCAAACATGAATAACGAAGACACGTTTCAATATGAGTTCTTGTGGGGAAGAGCAGGATAGCATGGACACAGATACGTCAAAGGCGCTGGAACAAAAGCTGCTTCTCGATAGTTCTTCAGACAACTGTACACGGATGACACAGAACAGAAGTACGCGTTATCTTAAACCTCAAACAAGGAGGGGCTATTTCAAGGGCAAGAACTCGGCCATCTTGGCACCAGTTTCAATTAACTAAACTTCAAACATATAACATTACATCAATGGTAGGTGACATCTGTCACTATGAAAAAAAACAACAGTATTCAGAAATATCAGGTTTAAAATTCTCAAACAAAAATTGTGTAAAATGCAAAACTTTAGATCTACACATTCTTCAAAATCATCGACAATGACGTGTCTTTGAGCATTACACACACACACACATACACACATACACACACACATG